TAGGAAAGAGAGAGAAAAAAAGATACGGTAGCTAATATAATTCCAACATTAACACCAAAATCATTTGGAAAGCTTTGCAAATTTATTAGTCAATTAAATACCTCACTAATGTCTCTTTCAAGACAATTCACGAAGCAGATGTGAAGCCAATATACTCAATACTGCCAATGAATCCGAAACTTCGTAGAAACACAAAAATTAATCAATGCAGACATTTGCAACAAGGTTAGTGTCTGGAGAGAGAGAACTAATCTACGAGGACAGGTTAAGGGAACTCGGTCTACAATCTTAGAGTAGATAAGAACTAGAGAGGAATGATTACTACATACAAAAATACCGAGGGAATTAAACAAAGCTGGAAAAGAGGAGCTCTTTCAAGTAAAAGAGGAGCTCTTTCAAGTAAAAGAGGAGCTCTTCAAGTAAAAGAGGAGCTCTTTCAAGTAAAAGAGGAGCTCTTCAAGTAAAAGAGGAGCTCTTTCAAGTAAAAGAGGAGCTCTTCAAGTAAAAGAGGAGCTCTTTCAAGTAAAAGAGGAGCCTCTTTTACTTGAAAGAAAGTAGGACGAGCTGTAAATGTTGACGAGGCGAAGAACTTTAAGGCAATACTGGTACCCTGTCCGGGTGGTCAGTAAGTGAATGTATGGAGAAGGAAGTAGAGAAAGCCTCCTCCGTCCACAACTTTAAGGCCAGATACGTCAAAGAATTCGAACGTCAGAGAGTATATAAAACCCAATAGTTGTAAAAAAAAATATTTCTGGGTCCTGAAAAGCTAGATCTCATTCCCAGTAGTCTCCATTACATTGGAACTGTTAGGTAAGCACCATTAGCATCCACCTCCATCAACTCCCCCCCCCCCCCCTCCCGTTCCATCACCACGACGCGCCAACCACAACAGCCCGTTACCACCATCACCTGTCCTTGAATGGATCTGTAAAAATGCGAGTTTGACCTCAAAGGTAAATGGGGGACAAACTTTGGGTCTTGTTGTTAAACTTCTCCTCAAAACTCTATCACGATCAAAGGAATTTTAGCTGACATCTCAGAGCCCAAACAGCTTCACCTCCAACACCATTTGTCCACAGATTTTTATTTGCTTCTTATTTTTGTTGTCCTTGCTTTTTTTTAACGTATCTCGCATCTGACATTCTCCCTTTTTCTTCCTCTCCTCTCCTATCCTCCTCTTCCATTTCCTTCTTTTCTATCTTCTATTTATCCTCGTCCTTACCTCCTCCTCCTCCTCCTCCTCTCCTTCTCTTCCAAGTCTATATATGATATATGAAGCCGGATATATAGCCGGACTGGTTCCTGGTTCCTTCGAATCCTGGTTCGGCTTCAGAGCAAGCCTCAGGAAACCCTGGTGAGTTTAGTAGAACTCCAGGATGCAATCCTTGTGACCAAGTCGTGGCGTAGTTGACTAGGGCGTGTGAGTGGGAACACCCACCGCATAGGTTCAAGCCCCCATCACGGCTCCTACGGATTTTCTCAACCCTAATAATTTTGTGAGACCGAAGAGCGTGCGGACGACACAGTGTGGACGAGTCTTGGGGATGTCCCATAACAATTAGCGGAGCTCCAAGTTTGGTTCATTTGAGGTGATTCAGCCAGTTAGCTCTCATGACTTGTTGGGATGTAAAGCCATAATGTCCACTGGTGTGTGTGTGTGTGTGTGTGTGTGTGTGTGTGTGTGTGTGTGTGTGTGTGTGTGTGTGTGTGTGTGTGTGTGTGTGTGTGTGTGTGTACTCACCTAGTTGTGTTTGCGGGGGTTGAGCTCTGGCTCTTTGGTCCCGCCTCTCAACCGTCAATCAACAGGTGTACAGATTCCTGAGCCTATTGGGCTCTATCATATCTACACTTGAAACTGTGTATGGAGTCAGCCTCCACCACATCACTTCCTAATGCATTCCATTTGTCAACCACTCTGACACTAAAAAAGTTCTTTCTAATATCTCTGTGGCTCATTTGGGCACTCAGTTTCCACCTGTGTCCCCTTGTGAGTGTTCCCCTTGTGTTAAATAGACTGTCTTTATCTACCCTATCAATTCCCTTCAGAATCTTGAATGTGGTGATCATGTCCCCCCTAACTCTTCTGTCTTCCAGCGAGGTGAGGTTTAATTCCCGTAGTCTCTCCTCGTAGCTCATACCTCTCAGCTCGGGTACTAGTCTGGTGGCAAACCTTTGAACCTTTTCCAGTTTAGTCTTATCCTTGACTAGATATGGACTGTGTGTGTGTGTGTGTGTGTGTGTGTGTGGTGTGTGTGTGTGTGTGTGTGTGTGTGTGTGGTGTGTGTGTGGTGTGTGTGTGTGTGTGGTGTGTGTGTGTGTGTGTGTGTGTGTGTGTGTGTGTGTGTGTGTGTGTGTTGTGTGTGTGTGTGTGTGTGTGTGTGGTGTGTGTGTGTGTTGGTCAACTGCCTATATATAACAACGTAGAGAGAGAGACTAAGAGACTTGAATAGCAAAAGCTAATATTTCCCTCTCAGGTGAAGTGTCTCAGTTAATTAAATACATTTGGAGATAATATGGTAGAGAAATAGGTTTACGTGGTAAACCTGGTATAAACCGTGGTATACCTAGTATATACCTACATACATAGTACACATAGCGTTTCGGGCAAGTCCTTAATCTGAATTTTTCCCGGAATACGACCCGCTAAATCGTTTAACAGCCAACCAGATTCACTGCTGGGTGAACAGAGGTGTATAGTTAAGGCTTGGCGCCTAGGCAATCTTCCTTGACCAGGATACGAACCCAGGCCAAATCGCTCGCGAAGCGCGAGACGAGTGTCTTACCTCTGCGCCACTGGGACACAGGGCACGGGAGACAGACAGGTGACACAGCTCACGTCTCTGGGAAAAAAATCCAAGTGAGAATCGAAGGAGGTGAAATTTTTTTTTAGAGATATATTAAATCCCAAATCTCCACGTGTGCTCTATATTGTATTCCATCATTGATAAAATAATTTATAAATTCAATATCTGAATAATTAAATAAAAATTGCGTCCGTTTAAGAATCACTTTAAATGTTCCATCGTGAAACATTTATAGAGTTTCTTTTGTATCATAATGAAACATATCACGATACAATAATTTGTAATATAAGCGCAGACCGTTGCCTCGTGCGCGCTTACTTGCTACATAAATCTGGGTTCGATTTGGTCTGGGTCCGTATCCTGGCCAGGGAGGATTGACTAGGCGCCAAGCCTTAAGTATACGCCTCTGTTCATTTCACAAATATTACGAGAAAGATAATTTTACATATTTTTTTTACAGAAATTAATGACTTAAGGTGTTCACCAGGTGTAGGCAGGTGACCTTGATGGTGTAACTGGTTACAGGGGTTACCTTGAGGTCACCTTGAGGTGCTTCCGGGGCTCAGCGTACCCCCGGCCCGGTCGTCGACCAGGCCTCCTAAAGGTCGGGGGCCTATAGGTCTTGACCCCAATGTCTGAAAGGCTCAATTAATTAAGCACTTACGTGTCCCCAATTGCGAAACCGGTACATCTTTCTTAAACCAGCGCCCAGACCATACTCCCTCATCACCCCTGGCGCCAGACTATACTCCCCCCATCACTCCTGGCGCCAGACTATACTCCCCCATCACCCCTGGCGCCCAGACCATACTCCCTCATCACCCCTGGCGCCAGACTATTCTCCCCCCATCACCCCTGGCGCCAGACTTAACTCCCCCATCACCCCTGGCGCCAGACTATACTCCTCCATCACCCCTGGCGCCAGACTATACTCCCCCATCACCCCTGACGCCAGACTATACTCCCCCATCACCCCTGGCGCCAGACTATACTCCCCCATCACCCCTGACGCCAAACCATACTCCCCCCCCCCCATCACCCCTGGCGCCCAGATAATGGTTAAAGTTGTATCGCAGAGCGCTTAAGAAACCTCATAACGCATCGCACTTTTGTGGATAAATTGACCACTGTCGCCATATTGCTAAGTTGTTATTGGGCGTTAATTATAAACACCGCTCCGCCTCCTCCCTTATTACACAAACTGCAGCAGTCTCCAGGAATGTCCTGAATGTTGAGAACGTGTATGTCTCTCTCTCTCTCTCTCTCTCTCTCTCTCTCTCTCTCTCTCTCTCTCTCTCTCTCTTTCCCTCTCTCTGTCACTTTCCCTCTCTCTCTCTCTCTCTCTCTCTCTCTCTCCCTCTCCCTCTCTCTCTCTCTCTCTCTCTCCTCTCTCTCTCATGGACTCTGCCATTCCCAGAGGTGACTAAGTGGAACAGGAACGCTGCCTCGGACCAAGGACCGGGAATCAAATTATGCAAATGGACTTATCTTTATCGATCACGAGAGAGAGAGAGAGAGAGAGAGAGAGAGAGAGAGAGAGAGAGAGAGAGAGAGAGAGAGAGAGAGAGAGAGAGAGAGAGAGAGAGAGAGAGAGAGAGAGAGAGAGAGAGAGAGAGAGAGAGAGAGAGAGAGAGAGAGAGAGAGACGTTTCCTACACCTGCACCATCTGGATTCTTTATCAACATTAATTAATTCCTTAGCTTCATACCTGTCTAACTCTTGTTTCAATTTAAATGCTTATTTCGGTCTTGAGTTGATTATTTTCAGTTTTTGCTGCGTAGGTAGTACTGCGAAATGGTAGCCCTGCGTAGGCTTACCATTCCAATGGGTCAATACTAATGTCACCATTATTCTTGAGCATTGAATATTGTGCAAGTATTCGTGAGGTTTCGTGCTCATGTTGATGAGAAAGTTTCATGTTGTTAACAATCCCATATACAACTGTCCTGGTACGTGTTTCACGCCATAAGAAACAGGAATCGATCTCATGGTATTACTTTGTGGTTCATTCTAACATTATCTTTCAGGAGTATACAGATACGTTTGTACATAGAAAGTTTGTCAACGAAATTTATTTTTAAAAAGACTTCTCTAAACCAAATCTAAGCTAATAAACGTTTACCTTTTATAATCATGTCTGTGAGAGTTAGTATTCTTACTTTTGCGAATTCTGATGTGTGTTTTGTGGTGTTTCAGGGTCTGGAAGGCGTGGAGGAGCTGAGCGTGCGGCGGTGCAAGCTGGATAGCCTGGTCCCCGGGTCGCTGGAAGGCCTGAGCCGCTTGCGGCAGCTGGAAGTCACTACCCACAACGGAGAGTGGGCGGCGCTGGCTATGGAGGTGGTGGAAGGGTCGCTGCCGCTGCCTCTAGAACGGGTTTCCCTCACCCATAACAACATCTGGACGCTGCCGCCCAGAGCCTTCTGCGGCCCCGCTGCCCTCCACCACCTCGACCTCTCCCACAACCGCCTTCAAGACGTGTTGGAGCTCGGCTTCGCCGACCACCTGCTTCTCGATGCTCTCGCTCTCAACACGTCAAATACGAGTTATAGTGATCACTTTTCAGGGTTTATTGATGCCAATGAGGAAGTGGCAGCAGAAGACAGGTGTGGACACGCCCTCCAGGAGCTCGTCCTTGACCACAACGATCTTGTGCGGCTTCCTACCCGCAGCTTCCTAGCCCTCGGCGGGCTCACAGAGCTTTACCTTCGTAATAATGATATCCGGCTTATAGCCAGTGAAGCCTTCAGAGGAATGGCAGCCTTACAAGTGCTCTATTTATCTAATAATCATATTATCGCACTACAGAACGGCACTTTCTTTGAAAACGTAGCCTTAGAGAGGATTTACCTCAACAACAACTCACTCAGTGCAATGAATCCGGATGTGTTCCAGGGTCTGCATCAGCTGCAGGTGCTAGACTTGTCGCATAATAAACTGTATTTAGACAGCAGTCATGAAGACATCTTCAAGGGTCTTCGGCGACTGGTCATCCTCGACCTGTCCTACAACGCTCTGTCAACTGTCCCCCAGCTCCTCCTCCGTGACCTGACCTCGCTTCAACGCCTCGACCTCTCCCACAATGACATCCAGAGCCTGGAGGACGACAGCTTTACCTCACTCTCCAACCTCTACGCTCTTGACCTCTCTCACAACCTCATCCTCAGCCTGAGCGAGGGCAGTCTGAGAGGACTGGTGGGGCTGAGTCTTCTACACTTGAGCAACAATTCTCTTATAGAAATCCACCCTCAAGCTCTCCGTCACAGCTCCAACCTGAAGGAGGTGTTCCTTGGAAGCAACCACTTGCAAGCCATTCCAACGGCTTTAGAAAATCTTTCCTTCCTAAAGGCTTTGGACATGAGTATGAACGAAATCGTTAGCACGCACCCATTTCTTTTTGGTGGGCTGGGGAACCTGGAAGTTCTGAACATAAGCCAAAATAAGATGAATGGCATTTCTCAGGGATCATTTGCCGGACTCGCATCTCTGGAGGTATTAGACTTGAGGGATAATCAGTTAAGGACAGTAAGTGAAGGGTCGTTCGACGGGGTGCCCAGTGTCAGGCACCTGACACTCTCCAGGAACGAACTGAGCGACATCAATGGCGTGTTCGCAGGCTTGGAGCACCTGGAGACTCTTGATGTATCCGAGAACAATATCCACATGTTCGACTATGCGTTCATACCCAGGCAGCTCATCTGGTTAGATTTAAAAAAGAACAAGATAGAACAGCTCGGTAATTTTTTCAAGGTTCAGAGTGTTTTGACGTTAGAGGCTCTTGATGCTAGCTACAACTCTATCAGACGGCTTGGTGAAGTCTCCCTCCCTAACACTATCAGGAAGGTTATTTTGCATCACAACAACATCAGCCGAGTTCTTCCCAATACATTCCGGGACAAAATTTATCTTCAGGACATTGATCTTCGGATGAACGCCATTCAGAGGCTGAATCCCAAATCGATCAGTGTCCGCGGGACAGTCGACAATCACATCAGTGCGCGGGTTTCCCTGGCAGGCAACCCACTTGTGTGTGACTGTGAGATGGAGTGGCTGTATGGGTCCTCAGGGATGTCCATCACAACCCCAGAGGCTACAGAGGTCACTTATCTCCAACCTCGTGTTGACGACCTCATTCAGGTGACTTGCGTCCTCACTCACTCCCGTGGTGGCGTACCAGTCACCACTCGTATCTTGGACACATCTCCCGAGAATTACCTCTGCCCCTATGCCACTCATTGCTTTGCCCTCTGTCACTGCTGTGACTTTATTGCATGTGACTGCCAAATGAAGTGCCCAGATGCTTGCTCTTGCTTCCACGATGATACTTGGTCCATGAATTTGGTGGACTGCTCTGGGGGGCACCTGGACCGTCTACCCGACAGGGTGCCCATGGATGCCACGGTGGTCCTCCTCGATGGCAACAATCTCCAAGTCCTTCATGCACATCACTTCATCGGGCGCCACAGCATCCAGCAACTCTTTCTCAATAATTCCCAAATTCAAACACTTCAGAACCGAACTTTCCACGGGTTGACTTCACTGCGCACTTTACATCTCCAGGACAACATGATCGTTCAGTTGAACGGCTTCGAGTTCTTTGGCCTCCATAGACTTAAGGAACTTTACCTCCAGAATAATCGCCTCTCGTTTGTCAACAATGCAACATTCCTAAGTCTTAAGAGTCTGGAGGTCCTAAGACTAGACAATAACTTCATCATAGACTTCCCAGTGTGGCTGCTAAGCAACAACTATTACTTGGCCACTGTGTCTCTGGCCAACAATCCGTGGGACTGTGACTGTCAATTTGTGGAATCATTGAGGGAATGGGAGACCCTGCAGCCACATCTCTTGCTCAACCCTGAGGAGATATTCTGTGTGGACAGTGACTCCGGTGCAGTGGGTCCCAGCATAATCCTCCCAGAATACTCCTGCACCAAGGGCCAGCAAGGGGTCACACAGTACCAGTTTGGACAGCGGCAGTTGCCTTTTCTGGCTGGGGGTCTGTGCGGTGGAGTGGCTCTCATCAGTGCCCTGGTTATGGTGGCCATGCTAGTGGCCCGCAGGAGGGCTGCTGCTGCCAACAAACTGGGCATGAACAACCCTCTGCCCTACTGCCAAGAGGAAGATGGCAAAGTATTTGATGCCTACATCAGCTACAGCGCCAATGACGCTAACTTCGTGCGTGATGTTATTGCAACCAAGCTGGAGAACAGTTGTCCCAGCTACAAGTTGTGTTTACACTCCCGAGATTTCAGCGAGAACAGCCACCTATCAGAGTTCGTAACGCAGTCGCTCAATTTCAGCAGAAGGACCATCATTGTCCTCTCCAAGAACTACGTTGACAGCGAGTGGAAAAACGCCATTTTTAAGAAAGCTCATGTTGATGGCCTGAAGGAAAATGACATGAACATTATAGCCATATATTATGATAATGTATCCTACTCTTCTTTTGATGCCGATTTAAAAGCAGTTATAAGAAAATGTTCAAAGCTGCGATGGGGAGACAAAAACTTTTGGAAGAAGCTCTTGGAGTTAATGCCACAGAGGCAGACATACACAGGCCTGCCTGTCTATGTGTCTGACAACTCATACAAATCGTCGACGCTGCCGTCCCTGGTACCCCCGTCGTCGCTGCCTCTCCCCTCCTCTTCCTCCGTCCTCACCTCCACCACGGGCCTCACCACGCCCTCGGAGATCGACCGTCGAGCCTCCTATCTACCGGAGGCCCCTGCGACGTACAAGGCGCCCCCGCCACCTAGACCTTGCTATTCCCCTGCCCCTTGTGACTACATTGTGATGCAGGGGCGGGACTGCCAGGACCCACACTGCACCTGTCGCCGCCACTCCCACACTGCTTACACCTATGCCGATGGCGACAACTCCTCCCTACACACATACACTTCGCTCGAGCCATTTACCAGTCCCCATCATGCACCCTCCCACTTCTCACGCCCCGCGTCCCCTAACAACAATCACTACACCGTTATAGATGCCCCAATCAGGGGAACTGTGCGTACTAGTAAACGTAAAAAAAAGCGGCCTCTCAGTCAAACATGTCCACCAACCACAAGAGAAGAGGTTTTCGATAATTCAGGGATCCTACAAGACCCGGATGGCAACCTGCCTCAAACTGACACATTCCGACGCACCAAGAGCTTGCGGGTGACACAGCCGGCGGGAGAAAGGCATAGTGACTATTCTACAGACCATTCCAGTGATCGTTCCAGTGGCAGGTCTTTTGACCATTCCGTGAATTCTACAGGTGGAGTCACTGGGGAAGAGCAGGAACCCAAGAGTACATTGTATACAGGCCTGGTAGACTCTCCGCCAGACCCAGCGCTCACAGCCCAGGAATGTTTCGTCTAGTCCATCTCTGCAGGAATAATGATCGTTGCTCTAACACGAAGAGCAATGACATGTATTCCAGGAAGATGTTTTGCTAGGATGTGATAGATAATGGTAGTGTCATAACCAGCGCTTGCTACCTGCATTAGGAGGCACAGAAATGGTACCTGCATTTTTCCAAGCACCTCTTGAAGGTTCCACAGCAACTTCTGAAAGGACCTCCAGCACTTTCTGTAGATCCTCCAGCGCCTCCTACAGGTCGTCTTGCGCCTCGTGCAGATTCCTCAGCACCTCCATGAGAGGGAAGAGTCTCGCTGACATTATCACAGAGTACTAACCGTCCCGTTGGTTGTAAGTCGCCAGTGATTGAATAAAGTGTATTTCATAATCTCAGATCATTTTGTTTGTTTTATATATCTTGGAGAATATGTATTTCAGTATTACACGAGGAAGGAGGATGAAAGCCGAGGTGACAGTGTCAACTAATGTCTCTGACACGGTCGTTGAATTTTGTTTTACACACATGCACATACACACACACACATACACGCACGACACACAATAACAACAGCTGCATATGGCACACTTACCAACATCTGCGTATCCTTCAGAAACTTGGACAAAGAAGCTTTCTAGGCCGTATATATACAGCAAAGATGAGACCTCTCTCTTGATTATGCATCCCCAGCATGGAACCCTTACCTGTAAAAGGACACGGAGAAACTAGAAAAGGTCCAAAGATGTGCAACGCGACTCGTGCCGGAACAAGGATTGAGGTATGAGGAAAGAATGAGAAAACTTGACTTTACCACACTGAAGAAAAGGAGAGATAGGGGCACATGATAACAACATTTAAGATCCTAATGGAAATTGACAAATTAGACAAAGTAGGCTAGTTCAAAGTAGTTCAAAGCTAGGAACAAGAGAACGAGGAGCCATAGACGGAACACTGGAGACGCAAATTAGTCACAACAGGAAGAACTTTTTTAGTGTTAGTACTGTCAATAAATGGAATAGGTTAGCTGCAGAAGTTGTTGAAGCAAATTTAATTCAAAAATTTTAAATGTAAATATGACAAAAGTGTTAGAAATTAGTCATTGTTTTAATCTAAGAACGTTTGGAAGGAAGGGCTGGGAGCCTAACTCAACTCTGCAAGCGCGTCTAGGTGACTACACACACACACACACACACACACACACACACACACACACACACACACACACACACACAACAGCTGAAAGCTTGATCCTGCAGGCACAAATAGGAAATAGATACACATTAGAGCTGCTTACTGGGAAAGTTTCCCCCCTCTTTAAAACCTTCTTTCTCTCTCTCCTCTCTCTCTCTCTCTCCCCCCTAATTAAGATCCCCCATCCTTTCATCCCCCCCCAGTAGCTTCCAGAGTTTTGTGACAACACACCATCCCCACAGTTGATTGACAGTTGATAGGCGGGACCAAAGAGCCAAAGCTCAACCCCCACAAGCACAATTAGGTGAGTACTCCCTCACCTCTCCACCCCTACTCTCTCACCTCTCCCTCACCTCACCACCCACAGCCTCACCTCTCCCCCTCCTCTCCCACGGCAGCTGTCACAAGAGCCGGGAAACTATCGCCACATTGTCGGCCCCGAAACAGCAGCGCTAACCAACAGACATTCATATTCACGGAGTGAGATCAGGAGCCCCAGAAGGGGACATTTTTTGTTTCATTTTTTTTTTTTAAACCAGGACTGTCACCACCTTGCGGCCAGGATGGTCCCCTCGGGCACACACACACCTTCCTACCCCCCCTTTCACACCCCCTACCCACACCCCTCCCCCCCCTCCCACCCTCACCTTCCCCCAACCCCCTACCCTCAACCACAGTCACGTCAGCCGGACCCGACACAGTTGTCAAGAACACTGTTTGGGATGCCTAACTGTTTCTCATTTCTAACTCTGGAATTTTTTACATTTTTGGGGGGGATTTATGTTATTTTTTTCCCCTACTCTATTGGATTCGTGGCTGGTTTCTTTTTGGAGTGTTAAGCGTTTTGAATTCCTGTCTGTTTCTGGATTCTTGGCTGTTTTGAATTCGTATAAAGAAGGAAAAAAAAGCACAGATAGAAAGAAAGTATCCTTCACAAGACTTCAATCAATATCCAGTACACGAATGAACATAATTTGTGCATTGTTCGCCGACCGCTTAAGGGCAGTAACAGCCGCTACTCTGAGCCAGAATAGCGTCAGTCTCGCTAATACTTATGCTGCCCCACTCCGCCATGTTGAAATTTGAATGATTCTTGCTATAAACAACGTCGCGGTCGATTGATACCACGGTCACATGTACCTGTGGAAGAGTGACCTCAGCTGATTGTATTGGTGAGGGGGAATGGGGACGGGCTGGTGAGGGGAGGGGATGGGGGAAAGGGGAGGTGCCAGTGAGGGAGGGGAAGGGGAGGTAGAGTACCTCATATATACCGCGGTTTAGACTATTCTGTAACCTCGCTGTATCGATTTCGTATCTCACCACTCATGAAAATCCCCGTGTCCCGAGGTTCCTGCTATGGCATGCTGGCCCTCTGTGGCCAGCATGGCCTCTGTGGCCCGCTATCCTGTTATATATCATTCTGTACTCATCTAGTAGTGCTTGCCTGGGTTGAGCTTCGGCTCTTTGGTCTCCCCCACTCTCAACTGTCAATCAACTGGTGTACAGGTTTCTGAGCCTAATTGGGCTGTATCATATCTACATTTGAGACTGTGTAGGGAGTCAGCCTCCACCACATCACTGCTTAGTTCATTACATTTGTTAACTATCCTGACACTGAAAAAGTTCTTTTCTAAATGTCTCTGTGGCTCATTTGGGTACTAAGTTTCCATCTGTGTCCCCCTTGTTCCCGTACCATTCGTGCTAAATTGTTTAACATCTGTGGCCTATTCTCCTTTTATCTATCCCCCTGGGGCCTGTTGCCCTGTGTTATCTATCACTGTGATTCGTGTCTATCGATACATGCCGTCCTTATCACTGCCTTTCTTCTACGTTGTGCAAAAAAACAACCAAACACCTCTCTTGTAATTTCATTGTCTGTGTTAACTCCTGGACTGAGAATCATCGCTACGTGTTTTTTTATTTTGTTTTACTTGTATCTACTTCATCTTTTGGTACTGTTTCCTGTATGCACATTTACCAATTCTTATCCTGTACTATCTTGCTGTATCTAATGATTTTACTTTCAACCGTCAGTAGCCCACTTTATGTATTTCTGTAAAGATTTGTACCGTATTTCATTGTTTTGTATAACAAAGTGTCTCTATGTCTGTCTGTCTGTCTGTCTCTCTCTCTCTCTCTCTCTCTCTCTCTCTCTCTCTCTCTCTCTCTCTCTCTCTCTCTCTCTCTCTCTCTCTCTCTCTCTCTCTCTCTCTCTCTTTCTCTCTCTCTATCTCCCTCTCTCTCAGCCGCATTTCCAGCAGACAAGTAATACGCTAACGTTAAGATTTGATAATACTTATTTTTTCTCACGTACTTCCGTGTACCCCATGTACTCCTCTGTACCCAGGGAAGAGTACATGGGAGGGTACATGGGAGGGTACATTGGAGGGTACATGGGAGGGTACATGGGAGGGTACATGGGAGGGTACATGGGAGGGTACGTGGGACACTCTATCAGTTGGTTATTCAGTGTTGCCGTGCAGCCTCACCACACGTACAATACCAGCAAGAAAATGCATATTCCGTACCCCGAGGGTTTAATGAAGCCTCGAGGGCAACACACACGCACACACTTCAGATTTGCTGGCATCTTCATCAGTCTGAGCTCCTGTGTGAGTGCCTCTACTCACCTGCATGAAAGTGGAAGGTGGGGGTCTGCCACTAGCCTCCCCAGAGAGAGCCGGAGGAGAGCGTCGGGGGGGTTAGCACCCACCCTCCCTGGGGGTTCCTCGGGGAGGGAGATGGAGAATGGAAATCAGCAGGGCAGTGGGATGTCCTTTTTCACTCTCATTTCCCAGCAATTGTCCTCGTGGGGGAAGGGGGTTATGGGGTAGGGGGGGGGGGGGGTACATCTTGTCGTCTGTGCCTCATTCCGTCTCTATCTTCTTTCGCTTTTTATTTTCCATTCTTCCTCGCCTTGTCGTGCCCCTGATAAGGGTTCTCTGCAGTAGGTCCTCTCCCTGCATTCTCTCTCTCTCTCTCTCTCTCTCTCTCTCTCTCTCTCTCTCTCTCTCTCTCGTCCCGTTCATAGCGAGGGTTTTGTTTCATCTCGTTGTCAACTGGAATTAATATCTTGCGAGACGTTTTCATCTCGTTCGTTGGCGAGAGCTCCCCCCTCCCCTCCCCCCCCCCAGCCAGCGCTTGCAGTCTTTCTCGATCTTCGTTGTTTCTTCCGCTTGCTCAAGCGGGCTCTATTTATAGAGCCTGGCATCACAGCAAGAGTCATGAATGCTCCGCCGTCTAGTTCGCTCAGTACCGTCGGTATTCACAGGAGGCTGTTGTCTGCTGTGGGGTGTCTGCTGCGGTTGTCTGCTGTGGGGTGTCTGCTGCGGTTGTCTGCTGTGGGGTGTCTGCTGCGGTTGTCTGCTGCGGGGTGTCTGCTGCGGGGTGTCTGCTGCGGTTGTCTGCTGAGGGGTGCGCGCATGCGTCCAGGCTGCTCCTCGTTCCTCTCGTTCTCGCGTCTTTTCAGTCACTAGAAGTCTCTTTTTCTTTCTCTTTCTCTCTCCTCGTCTCTCCTCTCCTCTGCTATCCTCCTAAAGCCCAAGTATCGAGGAATTCGGCTCCTATGAATCGTCATAACAGTAAGATCATTCAATCACACTTCTCATATATTAAATCAGTTTCGGATCTTACGAAAACCATCAGTCTTAGATCATACGAAGTCAGTTACATATCTTATACTCGTCTTAAACTATTATAAAGAGAGAGAGTCTGATCTGAGTCTCATGTCTAAAGCAATCCGGCGTCTTATCGAAACTTAACATATTTTTCTAAAGGTTTCATATTTTGATTAAAACAGCCTGAAATCCTATTAATGCAGACCCACAACTTACAAAAACAGACTCACATCTTACAAAAACAGTCCCACAACTTAAAAAAAAACAGACCCATATCTTACAAAAACAGACCCACATCTTACAAAAACAGACCCACAACTTACAAAAACAGACCCATATCTTACAAAAACAGACCCACATCTTACAAAAACAGACCCACAACTTACAAAAACAGACCCATATCTTACAAAAACAGACCCACATCTTACAAAAACAGACCCACAACTTACAAAAACAGACCCATATCTTACAAAAACAGACCCACATCTTACAAAAACAGACCCACAACTTACAAAAACAGACCCACAACTTACAAAAACAGACCCATATCTTACAAAAACAGTCCCACATCTTACAAAAACAGTCCCACAACTGACAAAAACAGACCCACGTATTCAGTAAAACAAACCCACCACATCCCTATATACGAAAGAGTCGCAGACTTAAAAAACAAAAACTTTAACAAAACAGCCGCAGGCGTCAGAGACCGCACTAAACCATTTTATAAACCAGTCCAGTAAACCAGTCCCTGTGACACATCTAGTCAATGAGCCTCGTGTACTACTGAACGCTAGGTTAGCAACAAATTACGTTCTGTATTTTTGGATACAAAAAATTAAAATGAATAAAACGAATACATGGTTGTGTTTTATTTGGGGGCGCCTTTGTGGGGGTGACGGTAGTGTTGTGGTGATGATGGTGATTGTGTGGCATGATGAGGCAGCCCGTCCTCATAAACAAAGGCCCAAAGTCCATTCCATCCACCCGCCATACCCCCCCTGTTTATGAATGAAAAACGGGTTTACATGCAACTGATGACGTTCGAATACTTCCTGATCAAGTGCTTCGCTGACGACTTTATGTTCGAACCACAACGATGTAAATGCTTCACCCACGTACTACAAATAATCGCCAACAGAACCTAAACACCTAACCTAGCCAATGTCTAAATATGCATACTGTGCTAATACATATTAATATTCATTTATACGTGAGAAAATTCCTGTTTTGAGTGAACAGAATGTTAAAAATTGATGAATGCGTCTTTGGGGTCGACCGCTGGATGGAATGGACTTGATCTGAGGATGGGATGGATGAGGATTCTGGGGACTCATTACATTATTAAGGAAGAACAGTAAAAAGAATATAAAATAACGCAGAGAAAATAACATTTAAAGAGCAATAGCAACAAATGTTAACAAAAGCGAAAAATTAACAAAAATCATACGAACAAAAAAGTTAATTAAAATAATAATAATAATAATGAAAATCATAAAAATAAAAATAATAATAAAAGAAGTAAAAATAATAATAAAAAGTAAAATAATAAAATGAGTAAAAATAATAAACAGAATAATTAATAATAAAAATTAAGAATACAAATAATAAAATTGCTGAGAGGGAAAAAGGAAGAGAATGAGAAGAAGAAGAAGAAGATGGAATAGAAGAATAGGGACCATAAGGTAAGACAATAACGAAGACATGAAGGTTATCTTGAGGTTATCTTGAGGATAACAAAATCTTCATCATAAGTGGCACAAACCCGTCACTCATCCATCATAAGTGGCACAAACCCGTCACTCATCCATCATAAGGAGCACAAACCCGTCACTCATCCATCATAAGGAGCACAAAACCCGTCACTCATCCATCATAAGGAGCACAAAACCCGTCACTCATCCATCATAAGCATAAAAAAACCCGTCACTCATCCATCATAAGCAGCACAAAACCCGTCACTCATCCATCATAAGGAGCACAAAACCCGTCACTCATCCATCATAAGCATAACAAAACCCGTCACTCATCCATCATAAGCAGCACAAAACCCGTCACTCATCCATCATAAGGAGCACAAAAACCGTCACTCATCCATCATAAGCATAAAAAAACCGTCACTCAGCAACCTAACAAACAAAGGTTACTCACCTAATGAACCAATTAAAATAAAATTAAATTAGGGAAATATTTAAAAAATTACACACAAATATATAATTCATTCAAATATTCTCATTAGACATACATGAAATATATTTTATATATATATATATATATATATATATATATATATATATATATATATATATATATATATATATATATATATATATATATATATATATATATCAACCTGACAAATTTAAAATATATTACTTTGCTTTTAAGCATTTTATTAAGGTTTAATATTACACAAGAAATCATGTGAATACATGTCAAAGTTTAAAAATATATTAACTTGAAATTAAATGCAGGAGCAATGGAACAATAACACTTAATAAAGAATTAATAACGTAAATGTTGATCAGAATCACTTGATCAGAAACCTATGATGATCAGAATCACTTGATCATAAACCTATGTTGATCAGAATCACTTGATCAGAAACCTATGTTGATCAGAATCACTTGTTCACCAGTAAAACTTACTCTTCAGTACGACTTCAGGTTGTTAGGGCTGACAGTCCCCCATCCCCCAAGAGGACATATGAAGGCATTCATTCCTTCATTCGTCTCAAGACGCCTCGTTTGGTGTCGACAGAGGTAGTTCATCGTGAGCAAGTTGCAATTTCTTGCTCTTGCAGTCGCTTGTCAACTCGCTTATTTTAAGCTGTTGTCAGTAGGGGGTCAAAACACAGCTAAAAAATCTGAACACTTTTCTTTATTGCCAACAAATAAAAATCAGGCGCAAGCTCTCGTGTTTTTCTTCCCTTGAGGAAATTGACGAAAAACTGAATCACATGTTATGGGGATTTGTGTGTGTGTGTGTGTGCGAGCTCAGACGAGACAATGAACCCACACCTGGCCCCTAACTCGTCCTCATGAACAATGGCTAAACGCTCGTTAATCCGACCGCAAAACCCCCTGTTTATTAAAGAAAAACGCTTTTACACACAACTCAGCGCAGTTGACGCTCAAACCTTTCTCGAACACGGCTTCACTCTCTCTCTCTTCCTATATTCGAACCCCACCTCCAGAAGGGCCTCACCCACGTACAACAAACACAAATAATTAACAAGAGAACCTATAAACACCCACCCTAACCTGATGTAGGGCCTAACTATACACCATATTCTGACACGAATTTATATTTGAGAAAATAACGATTTTTAATTAACACGGCACGTAAAATATTGAGAACTATCATCAGGATCGACCGCAGTTTAGGGGAGTATTGCTTGAGGATGGGTTGTCTTAACTCTCCCCTAGTCTCTCCTCTACTCTTCCCAGTCTCCCCTCTACTCTCCCTAGCCTCTCCTCTACTCTCAGCCACCTTTTTTGACGTCTTGAGCAAGGAAATAGAGCGTCTGAGGTGTAGTGTCGAGAAATACGGAGCTGAGGAGGATTTTCTCTTGTTCTGAGGCAGGGAGGAAACTCGCTGGCTTGTAGCGCGGAGAGAAAGTTTACATGGAAAGTAAATTGGATGAGAGAACGAAAAATGAGAAAAAGAGTAAGAATTAGAAAGAGAGAGAAAGATAAAGAGAGTGAGAGATGTGTGTGAGTAAAATCTAGTGTTGAGTGCAGAAATTGACGTCTTAGAGATGAAGTGTGATCTATCAGTGATCATAAAGAGACACTTGTTTCACCTTGCAAGCCTGCTTTACATCCCAGAAGCACACAGGCCTAAGGCACATCTTCTGCCCCCCCCCCCTCGACCACCAGGGTTGCAAACCTTAAATGAAACACAAATTCACCTCTATCTTGAGTACGCAACGCTCTCCAATAGATGGCGTGCGCCCCTCACCATTTATCCATTTTTACCCCTTTATCACTCTTTATCCATTTGGATTAAGAATGATAAAGTGCTGCTGATAAAGTGAAAGATAAAGAAGTTGGATAAAGTGCGAGAAGGAACCGAGTGACAAAGATTTGTTTTTGACCCTACAGCACCCGAGAGATGTTCTTAGACGTCAAAGTCAATGTTTTCATGATTCCCACATCTGGCCCAGCTTCGAGGAGAGCCGGAAGTTGGTCACCACAACATAAGACGCTCAGCCGGAAATATTTTCATGCCCCGACTGTGTCATTTCTTAACAACATCAGTGACCATTCATCCCTATAGGCCGACTCTCATTTGGAACACGTAGATCAACACGTAGATCAACACGTAGATCAACACGTAGATCAACACGTAGATCAACACGTAGATCAACACGTAGATCAACACGTAGATCAACACGTAGATCAACACGTAGATCAACACGTAGATCAACACGTAGATCAACACGTAGATCAACACGTAGATCAACATGTAGATCAACACGTAGATCAACACGTGAGATCACGTGAAGTGACCAATGAAGGCTCTGGTACACAGTTGGTCCTTCATTGGTCATAACTAACACTACATCCTTCCCTAACTTAACATGACTGTAGCTTAAACATTAAAATTGTAGTATTAATGAAAAACTAATAATGAGCCATATGTAGGTTCGAAATCTTGTTGACATTTATAATATATTTATAACACATTCTAGTTCATTTTTATTCTTTTAGTCAACCTCGAACGAAGACGACATTTGGAGAAATCTTCTTCTGATTAAACCAAGATGGAAGAGCACTACACAGTGGGAGTTACAGACGCCCTCCACAAGAAAATAATCAACACGGAATATGCAGTCATATTCAATGAAACATACATATATGTATATGTGTGAAATATATATATACATATACATAAGGTAACAGCAGATAATGATGGTAACTCACTGTGGTGACCTACCACCCGTACAATGGGTCTTTCCTCCACCCCCCAACTCCCCCCCCTACCACTAACACCCCCACCCCTCTCCCACCTACACCCCCACCCATCTCCCACCAACACCCCCACCCATCTCCCACCAACACCCCCACCCCTCTCCCACCAACACCCCACCCCTCTCCCACCAACACCCCCACCCATCTCCCACCAACACCCCCACCCCTCTCCCACCAACACCCCCACCCCTCTCCCACCAACACCCCCACCCCTCTCCCACCAACACCCCCACCCCTCTCCCACCAACACCCCCACCCATCTCCCACCAACACCCCCACCCATCTCCCACCAACACCCCCACCCATCTCCCACCAACACCCCCACCTCTCCGCCACATGCACTTAGAGAGAGTGCTAGTGTACAGGACACCCAGATAACTTCCGTGTCCCCTCCCACACTGCCTGTTTAATCGACTCTTCCCTGCTACTAATGTCACTGCTACCACTCCTCTAGCAGCTCTCGTTGCTCTAGCAGCTCCGATTGCTCTATCAGCTCTAGTGTAACTAGAAGCACTGGTGGTGCCAGTGGCACTGCTAGTGCTGCAAGTGTATACAGATCAGTTTGGCCCTTGCTATCAACGAGTCTGGCACTCACTATAACAGTAGCAATTCCGCGATAATTAATGACTATGGCTCTCATTATAACAGCATACGTGCCATGCTAATTAATTAATGCGGTGATCAAACTTGTGTTCACAGCGATATGAAGGCGAACAAAGCTTACGACTCCTACATACTCTTCCTTCTGGAGTCTGTGCTATCACACACACACACTGAGAGTTTAGAGAGAGAGAGAGAGAGAGAGAGAGAGAGAGAGAGAGAGAGAGAGAGAGAGAGAGAGAGAGAGAGAGAGAGAGAGAGAGAGAGAGAGAGAGAGAGAG